TGTTAGCTATTCGGAGAATGTTTGGAATCTCATCTCCCTACATCCGTCATTACTCCGCCAAGATCTCCCCCGAAGCTCCGATCTCCTCCGGCAACCCTCCGCTCCATCCTTCCGAGCCCGCCCCCAAGGTTCTCTTTTTCTGTATTCATCCCCACCGCATTTCATCAGCTCAGGTTTTGATTTGTTTATTCATTTTTATTTTGAATAAAAATTGATTAAAATTTTTATGTTTTTATTCTTGCTATTGGGTCTCAAGTGGGAAGCCCCACCGATGGGAAAACTCAAAATATCGACGGATTATTCAGCCAAGTTTGTGGAGATTAAGGATAAATCAAAGTCTACAAGTCAGGGCCGTATCGTAAAAAAATCAATTCTTACGGGTGAGGGCAGTGGTGCCGTAATCAGAAACCACCTCGGGGAGGTGCTTCATAAACAAGTTTGGAAAAACACATCGGGCAAAACCAATGTAGGAGAGCTACAGGCCTTTTTGAATAGTTTGGTGTGGTGCTTAAAACTTTTTCCGAAGAAAGAAGACAGAGAGAAATTAATTTTTGAGACAGATTCCAAAAACTTGGCTTATGTAATCAACAATGGGAGTGGCTACAGGGATGCGGATGCTCAAGAGATATTAGACACTGTGCGAACTGATATGACAAAGTTCAATATTACTAGTATTCTCCACGTCGTAAAGGCGAAAAATCAAACAGCAGACGCTTTGGCCAATCTAGGCCAACTTGGTGCAGATATCACAGATAGCACGAACATGGAGGTCGATGAGACCTCTAAATTTGAATTTGATGAGATAGATCACTATAAAAAAAAATATACCAAACATGTTGAAGAAGACAAAAAGGGCTTGTCGCTTCTCTTTTGAAATTATGAGATTATTAATGTACTATTTTATTGGTTATGTTGGAATACTTTACGTTTGTGTTGTTCTCAATGTTCTTGTCATTTCAGTGCTATATTGTTTGTAACACAATTTCATGTCACTACTATAACCGTAATATACTATCATATAAGATTAATGTACTATATTGTAATTATTAATATACTAGGTGGATGAATAATACGGGATACATAGTCGATTATCGAGATCCATAGTCGAATTAGCTCAATAACACAGTCTATTACATGATATAAGGAAAATTACCCTAATTGATTAGTATTTCAAACAAACATATTATTCAGTTTCCATATATATTATTATTTTTCATATATATTATTACTTACCCTAATCGTTTTCATATAATAAGGAAAATTACCCTAATTGATTAGTATTTCAATCAAACATATTATTCAGTTTCCATATATATTATTATTTTTCCAATAGTCAATTAACTAAAAACATAGTCGAATTAGATACATGGGATAGTCTATGATAAGATATGAGATATTCTATTATATTTAAAACACAAATCCGACGCCGTCACCGCTCAAATCTAGGGTTTTGATGATTCTTCGGCCCATAGACGATTAACGATACCCATAGCAAAATTATATCTGTTGTATAGTGTATTAAGTGATATGGGATAGTATATTAATACAGATGTAATTCGACTATGCATCTCGTTAATCAACTATGGGCCGAAGAATCATCAAAACCCTAGATTTCAGTAATCCTACATTTGAGAAACCCTAGATTGGAGCAGTGACGGCGACGGCGACGGCGGCCAACGACGCTATCACTTCGGTATGCGATTATAACATATCTGCAATTACACAAACGTGATAGTCGATTTAGCCAAAACATATCAACAAATCGATGGACGATAGCGACCGGCGAAGACGTACCTACGGCGGCTTGCTCGGAGTCCACGAAAATCATCGTTTCACGGCAGTGCAAATTTCGCCGGTCGGGAGGTTTTGCAGCTTTTTTGATAGTGGGTTTGTGGTGATAACGTTTTAACGGGAAAATAGGGAGATATTTGATATTATTTCAAAAGGTAAAGTAACGGGATTTGTGGGATTTGATTGAGGGTAATTATGTAATTTACAAACGTTTGGGTTTTTATCAAAATGGCAAGGTTAAGTTTGGGTCTACCCCTATTATTTGAATGTTTAAGGGGGTTATGTCTAATAGACCCTTTAAATTAATAGAATGTTTGAAATTTTATGTAATGTTATTGCCTTACTAATACCAAAGTATTATACAAATCCGTGTGTATAGTATATTTAATGTTTATATACTACTTATTAAATAAGAATATTTAATGTTAATGGTATTAACTAGGGGTGCAAGTTGGAACGAAATTTCCAATTTCCGCCGGTTCCAATCCGAATAGTTCCGATTTTGGAACAACTTTTTTCATTCCGACTTCCGAAAATCCGGTTTCCGGTTTTTTCCGATTTTTTTGGATTGGAATTGGAATTATATAAAATATATATGGAATTTCCGATTTCCGGTCCGATTTAATTCTGAAATTAATTCCGGAAAATTCCGATTTTTTTCCGAAAAATACACTTATAAATATATATATATATATATATATATATATATATATATATATATATATATATATATATATATATATATATATATATATATATATATATATATATATATATATATATATATATATATATATATATATATATATATATATATATATACTTTTGAACTGAAATTTAGTAGTTATTATTTTTACTTTTATCGACATGGATGTTCTTATTTTTTAAAAATTATGAACATTTTAGAAAATTTCGGCTAAGTTTTGAAATTTTAAAGCTTATGTGATTTCCGATTTTTTTCCGAAATTCCGAAATTTCCGGGGCTTTTGGAATTGGAATGAATTTTTAGATTACGAAAATTTTGGAATTGGAATTGGAATTGATTTTGTACTTCCGAATTTTTTTGGAATTTTTCCGAAAAGGCTAATTCCGATCCGATTCATCCGACTTTCACCCCTAGTATTAACTAATAACTATATAATTTATAGAGCAAACTTCATTTTGCACCCCCGTACTATGCGAAATATATCATTTACCCCATCCCCTTATGTATGGAAAACATCAAACACCCCATGTCGTTAGCATGTTTCCTAATTTCCGTTAGTCAAACCCTTTGACCGACTATTACAAAGAAATGTTGGCTTTTTTTTTTTTTTTTTACGAAAATACCCCAAAAAATTTCTATATATCTTCTTAATTTTGATAAATGTTCATCTGATTAATTATTTTTTAGCATTTTTTTCACTTTATTCAGTCATTTTCTTTCTTTACTATTTTCAGCCATTTTTCTTTAAATTTTTTTGATAAGTCGAATAAATAAGAATGAAGCTTTGTAGATTATGAATGTAAAACCCACAAAAGATAAAACTAAAAGTCCTGAAATCTAAAAAAACCCCTAAAATTAGAATAAAACCATATGAAAGAATTACAAATTAAACTCAAAGCTTTTCATATTATTATAGGAAACTTCTTCGAGAAAGAAAACTGAAAATCTCTAAAATCAAACACTAAAATTGACAAAAATCTACAATTTGAACTTACGCTAAAAATCGTCAACAATCCACAAAAAGTACGCCTAAAAAAGTTAGCAATTATATAAGACATAAAGCAGGGTAAAGAAGTCATTGCATATACTCAGATTTAATACCGTTAAAGATTTGACCATTGACCGTTAAAAATAGGGAGGTATTTGATGTTTTCTATACATCTTGGGGTAAATGATACCGTTGACATAGTACAGGAGTGCAAAATGAATTTTACCTAGATTTATATTCGGGAGGTGATAAATGTCGTTTCAGTTTTCATAATGTCGTTTTGACTTCAAACGTGATTTTGACCATTTTCGAGTTTGAATTTGGCAAAATTCAGAACATGGAATTTGTAATTCTTTGAGTTAGCATTCTAATCTAATTTTAATCGCCAAGATTGGATGTCGGTTGAGAAAGTTATGCATGAATTAATGAACACTGCCCACAACTTTGATGTTTTAAATTATGTAAAATTTAAAACGTAACTCATGCATGCATAACTTTGTCACCCGACATCCAATCCAGGTGATTCATGTTGTATTGGAAAGTTATCTCAAAGGACTACGGTTTCCGTCTTTCGAACTTTGCCAAATTCAAAATAGAAAATAGTCAAAATCACTTTCGAAGTCAGAACGACATTAGTAAAATTAAAACGACATTTATCATTTCAGTTTATATTCATATAGTGAACACCAATCAAATAATCGGAGAAATACATAAACTTATAACATTCAGTGAACTTTTTTTTTCTTAGACTATCAAAAAACAAATATTATATGAAGGCCAGTAAGGGAAATATACATTAAAAATCTATGCACGAAAATGTGATAGGGTTCCAAAAGAAAAAAAAAGGTGGTTGCAAGGGAAAAAAAAAACTAAAAAGAAAAGGAAAGAAAATAATAAGTATAAGAAGAAGCAAAGTAAATAACATTTTTTATTGATAACTATGAGCACATCAAATTTTGGGAAAAGATAGAAAAAGATACCCAAATTATAAAGATATAATAAAACAAAATAAAATAAAATAAAAATTATTAGACTTATGAATGAAAATATAAGTAGAATGTATGAGTCTAAACATATTGCAATCTTAAATTAAGAGGGTGTTTGGCTAGTCTTATAAGTTATTAAAAATAACTTGTAAGACGTTTAAGAGTATAAACTTTTCTAAAGTATTTGGTAATTTAAAAAAAAATCTAAAAAAATTCAAAAAATAAGCGGCTAAAGAACAAATAAGATTTTAATTTTTTTTTAGCTCTACCTCACCTTTTTATTTAAGATATTACATTGAGTAAAAATAGTTATAAGAAGATAATATCATTATCCAAACACTTTAAAAATTAATTTAAGAAATAAGGCGTAACATCATCAACGTTTAGAAGGTGTTTGACTAAGCTTTTAAGCTGTTAAAAAGAAGTTATATATGTTTAAGAGCTGATAAGCTCTTCCAAAGTGTTTGTTAATTTAAAAAAAAAAAAGATCTTAAGAATTCAAAAAATAAGCTATTAAAGAGCAAATAAATGAACTCAAGACGTGCAACGCACGTCCACTTTCCTAGTATTTTAAAATATCTCAAAGGGAATATTGGTAGGGTGTTTATGATGAAGACCTTATTGTTATCAAATGTCAAATGTTGACAGAGTCGCTAATTAGACAACTTAATTATGACTTTGCTCTTCTTGTTAGTGTCTAAGAAATCAACAAGTTTTTTTCTTAGCACTGCTACTTCAATAGTTTGCTAATCAATCTCTGAAATTGTTTGTAAAAACAAGATGGCTGCAGCTTATGCAGCTTTAGTTTCTCTCACTCATACTATTGATCAGATCCTCGATACACCTCCCACCCTTCATATCATTGTTGATAGAAAACAGATTGAAATTCTACAAAAAAAGGCAGACTTGTTGTTAGATTTTCTCGAAAATTATACAAGCACTAGAGGCGACCAAGAGATTGAACATTTGGAGATGATGATCGGCGATGCAGCATATGCAGCAGAATATATTATCGAATTCAATGTGATGAACCAAATTCTTGCAGCACGATCTAGATCAGATAGAGAAGAAAGCTCCAATCTCTTGTTTGAAGGTGTAGAAATTTCAATACAAGAGTTCCTTTTCATTGAGAAAGAGTTGGTGAAATTCAAGAAAGATATGCAACGACCTAATAACTACTACTTAACAACAACAAAAGCTAGTTCTTCTTCTTCTTCATCAAGGCCTCTTCTTCCGGCCGGTGGCAAAAACAAGATGGTGGGATTCAACGACCACATGGATGAAATTATGGGCGCTCTCTCCACCAACGAATCTAATCTTCGGATCATCTCTATTGTTGGAATGGGAGGCATAGGTAAGACTACCCTTGCCATTAATGTTTCTAACAATCCCTATATTGTGGAGCACTTTCAGCTACGTGCTTGGTTTACGGTATCCCAGGAATATACTGACAAGAAGATTCTCCTAGGCCTTTTGCATCAGATCAACAATACATATAGAAATGCACATGAGATCGATGATGATGATGATGATTATGCAATAGGAGACATACTGCACAAAACTCTATTTGGGAGGAAGTATTTGATAGTAATGGATGACATGTGGGATATCAAAGCATGTGATATGGTAAAAAGGTTCCTTCCTGATAATAATAATGGAAGTCGAATCTTGGTAACTACTAGGCTGATGAAGTTGGCTGTAGATATTGGATCTCGTGGCCCTTATCAACTGAATCTTTTAGAAAAATCACAGAGTTGGGATTTACTCCGTGAAAAGATATTTGCAGAAGAACGTTGCCCCGATGAATTGGAGGGAACTGGAAAAAGTATTGCAAAAAAATGCAACGGACTTCCATTAGCCCTTGTTGTGATTGCTGGGGTTCTTGCAAAGTCCAAGACAAAAGAACATTGGGTGTCAATTGAAAAAGATGTAACTTCAGCAGTAAACAATCAAGATGATGAGTCATGCATGAAGATACTATTGTTGAGCTATAATAACTTGCCTATACATCTAAAGCCTTGTTTCCTTTACTTTGCCGTGTTTCCTGAAGATCATATCATCAAAGTGGAAAGGCTGGTCAGGTTGTGGGTTGCTGAAGGATTTATTAGGCAGTGTGGGCATAAAAGCTTAGAAGAAATTGGAGAGGAGTACTTGGAGGATCTTATTGATCGAAATCTCATTTTGGTCGATTGGCGGTCAGTTACGGGAGAAGTGACCGACTGCCACATTCATGATGTTTTAAGTAACCTATGCAGAAGAGAAGCTCAGAAAGACAATTTTATTTTCTCGTTCGCTAGAAAGCTTTATAACCCCGATATATTAACTTTCATGAAGATCACACCACGTCTCAGCATTAATGGTGGAAAATGGAAAGGGACGAAACATAAGCCATATACATCACAGATACCTACACGGTCTTTGTTATGCTTCTCTAAAGGGGCTTCAACTGATTACACGACTCGTCGGTTTCCATTACTACGAGTATTGGATGTAGTTGATATATATCCCAAAGATGAGATTCTACAGCTAATTTACTCAAGGTATGTTTCTTGCATGGGTCTGATGATGTTGCCGTCTTCAATATCCCGACTTTGGAGCCTACAAACATTATTTGTTGATGGAGCGTTGATTCTGCCAGGTGAGATATGGCAGATGCCCCAACTTCGACATGTTGAGGCCAACTCTATTATCTTGCCCGATCCTCCGCCTCCAGATAATGTCCAGAAAATCATACTTCTTGAAAATTTACAAACACTTTCAGGAGTCGTAGATTTTGAATGCAGTGAAGCGGTAATTAATAGAATCCCTAATGTGAAGAAGTTGGAAATTGTTTGTGGGACAATTGGGTCTAATTGTTTAAGGAATCTTGGACTTCTCCATAAACTCGAACAACTTTATCTGAAATTAAATACTGGTACTAGTTGCTGTGGAGAAATTGTCTTCCCAAGTTCACTTAAAGAGTTGATGTTAAGTGAATGCAAGATTCCTTGGGAAGATATGTCAGTTGTTGGTTCTTTGCCCAACCTTCAAGTTCTCGAGTTGCGTAAAAATGCTGCTATAGGGCAAAAGTGGATTCCAAAAGAAGGGGAGTTCACTCGACTGAAGTTCCTATGGATTCACGAGTGTGAATTGGAGATATGGGAAGCAGACAACACACATTTCCCATGTCTAGAGCAGCTACATCTTGGATGCTTAAACCTCATCGAGATCCCTTTAGATTTTGCCGAAATATTACCACTTCGAGGGATTAACTTACATCACTATAGCAGCAATGACCTTTTGGCATCTGCAAATGAAATATCAGAGCGACGAGAGAACCTAGATTACGATGCTCTTTATGTTAATAATATTACATTTGGAGTGCTCAATATTTGGGTGAAGAGAGGTATTAATCTTGCTGTTGGTGGTGGAAATCCTTATGTTGTTATCACAATGGCCAATCAGGTTTCGTGTTCCTACTTTTTGATGGTTTTTTTTTGTTCATTAATGTTATTTTTACCTTCGTCATAATATTCTTTTAGACAAAAAGGATAACTCATTCGCATTAAATATGTTGTCTTTCGAATTTTCAAAAACAAATTTGCAATTTAGTATAAATCTTGATGATGCAGAGTGTGGAGACTCGTGTTGTGGCAAATGATGTTCATCCTATATGGGATGAGGCACTCACAATTTACGTTTTAGATCCTAGCCGTCCAGTTTCTCTGGTGAGATTCTCTAATTTAAGATAAAAATAAATTTCGCAACTAGTTTTGCAATATTTATTCTCACCATTTTTCTTCGTAGATCCAAAATCTGTAGTTTCAAATATGTTATGTGTATATGCTGATTCATAGTTTGTGATTCTTACCATTTTTCTTCGTAGACAGTGCGAGACCATAACAAGTTTAGCAACATGGATAACAAGATGGGTAATGCAGTGATTGATATTAAACCATTACTAGAAGCCGGTTGGGTGCATCAAAATGGCCTTCCAAACGGTACAATAATCACAAGAATATTGCCTTCAAGCTCCAATTGCCTGTCTAAAGAAAGTTCCATTGTCTGGGAAAATGGGAGAGTAATACAGGACATGTGCTTGAGATTGGAAAATTCCGAATGTGGCCAAGTCGAACTTCAACTCCGGTGGATTGATTAAATAGTATCTGGTGAAATCGAACTTCGGTCGAATGGTTGAAGTTCCTACTTCCACTAATTTAAGGGTGTGATTGGATCAAATTAACCATCGAGTAAAATAGTGAAATTGCAATGTAAAATAATTTATATGTTAAACGAAATCATAAATTTAAATGGAAATTTTGTTTTATTGTAATTTCGGACATGTATAGTAATTTTTTTAATTCATAGGAGGTATAGAAGAAGAAGAAATAAATGTAACATCAATTTGATTCATAAAATCGAAATGGCTAGTCCAAATAATTGGAGAAGAATGTAGTAGAAGGTGACTCGTTGGAGGTTATATTGCCGCAGTTAGTGAATCTTCAAGTTCCGAAGCTCCATACATGAATAACATAGAGGATATCGAGCGGGCGAGTGAGTAGTTTGAGAATTTTTTGATACAACACGTTTCAGGGGAGGCCAAATAAGTAGCTCATGAAGTAAAACAACTTTGTCGGAAGACCGATAATTTCTCTATTTAAGTGATCTATGTAGGAGAGAAGCTCAGAAACATAATTTTATAATCCCTTCCAAACTAGTAACCAGATCCTCCTCAGAATTAATGGTGGCCAATGTAAAGATATGACACTAACGACATCTATTCGGTCTTTCTTAACCTTTTATTCTGCGAATTTGTCTACTTATACTGCTCCTCGGTCTCCGTTAATACGGGTATTGGATGTGGTTGATAGATATGTCTCTTGCACGGGTTTGATCTTTATGTCGCCGTTTATATTATCCCGACTTTGGAGCCTACAAACCCTAGTTGTTGGTGGAGAGTTGACTCTCGCTATTGAGATATTGCAGATCCTCCTTCACGTGGCGAAAAAATCACAATGCTTGAAAATCTAAAAACACATTCAATAGTCAAAGATTTCAAATGTACTAAAGAGGTAACTAAACAAATCCCGAATCTGAAGAAGTTGGGAATTGTTTATCCGGCAATTGGATCTTATTGTTTAAGCAATCTCGGCTTTCTCCATAAACTTGAATCACTTAGTCTCGCATTTGTTGGTACGCTTGGTCTTTCCAAGTTCACTTAAAAAGTTGGCCTTAAGTGAATGCAAGAGAAGATATGCCCATTGTTGGTTCATTACCAAATCTTGAATTTCTCAAATTGTGGTCGAATTCCGCCGTAGGGAAAAAGTTGATTTTGAAATGAAGGGGAATTCGCTCGACTAAAGTACTTGTTGATTCATGAGTGTGAGTTGGAGATTTGGGAATCAGACAATACACATTTCCCATGTCTTGAGCAAATACATCTCGGAATCGTGAGACTGAATGAGTTCCCTTCAGATTTTGCTGAAATATTACCGCTTCAAGTGATCGACTTACACCGCTGTGAAAATTCCCTTTTGACATCGGCAAAGGAAGTATCAAAGCAACGAGAGAACCTAGGATACGATGCTCTTCAAATTCGAGCTTTAATGCCTGGACTGCTCAGAATTTCTGTGCAAAGAGGTATCAATCTTGCTGCTCGCAATCACCCCAAGAGAAGTCCTTATGCTGCTGTCAGAATATCCAAACAGGTTGTCTTTTTACTAAAGACATTTGGTGTTCTTTTTCGTATGGGTTTTCGATCTTTTATGCTTTCCTTTTTTACAAAAACGAATTGCAATTTACTATATATAAATGATTGCGATGTGGATTCTGAAGACTCGTGTTGTAAGAAAGACTGTTAATCCCGAATGGCGTGACGATTTGACAGTTGCTGTTTTAGATCCTCGTCAACCAATTTCTGTGGTCAGAGACTCTTTCATTAGCGATAAAATTAAAACAAATTTTTGTAAAGTAATTATATTTTTACCTAGCATTCTAACAATCTTTCTCGTTTTTTTCTTGATCCAGTCAGCGTATTAGAAACCGTAATACCTATATGCTGATTCTATGTGTACGTATGGTTGTAGACAGTGTACGACAGAAACATGTTCAGTGTGGATGAGAAGATGGGAGACGCAGAGTTTGATGTTAGACCAAATGCCCTACCAAACGGTACAATAAGCACAAGAATATCGCCTTCAAGCTCTAATTGCCTGTCCGAAGAGATGACAATCTAATGCAGGATATGTGCCTCAGATTGAGAAATATCGAATCCGGCCAAGTCAAACTTCAGCTGCGGTGGATTGATATTCTTCCTGGCTTCGAATAATTTTATTTTTCTTTATTTCCTTCTTTCTTTTGTTCGGTTTTTCGTATTTGTGTTGTCATTACCAGTTTCATATAGTGAAATGGCTAATCCAGTTACAAAATTTTGACTTCAGCAGTCCATTTGGACTTCCGAAAAAATTAAAATAAAAAATTCTAAAAGGGCTAATCCCCATTCGATCGGTCCGATTTACACCCTTAAATTCTATACGTATTAATGGGATAAATTTCAGGCACCCTCACCGAACCATTGCCATATTGACAATTACACCCCAAACATTTAAATTTTTGGATTCTATATCTATATCTATATCTATATCTATCTATACTAATGCATATTCTATATCTATATCTATATCTATCTATACTAATTATAAAAGGATGAATGTGGTTGGGATTTCTTCTATTTTTTATTTGTAGAAAAATGCCCTCACTAAATTTCTTTTACATATAAACTTTGAAGGAAAATTACATAATTTAGTTACCAATTAATATACAACAAATATAATAATAATAATAATAGTAATAATTAACTTCATACGATTCATTGTATTAATGAGATTAAAATTACCATGCATGTATTTATAATTCAAATTCACACGATCCCAATGCATTTTTCGGAATTAAATTGTCTATTGATATACCCTGTTAATCGGCTCTAAAACTTCTAATCTGTAACAATCTAAAATAAATGATTAAACGAAAGAAACTCAAGGGTCTTAGTTAGTGGTTTGAGCACCATTAAAATTCAATTAATTTGGTCTATTTCTCAGTTTTTTCAAGTTATACCCTCTTGTGTTTCTCGATTTTTTAAGAGTTGGATCGTGAAGCATGGTCAAATTTACTTTTTTGTACGGACCCTCAAATTTGTAGACCTCTTGTAATTTTTTGGTTTATCTTCCATATATTAAAGTTATCATGTGTTCCAACATTACATATATGAGTTCATATAAATGGAATGCACATTTCTTGTATGCAGCAAATGAGAAACAAGAAAAAGAGAAACAGAGGATGAAGTGTGCACTGCAACAATATCGGAAACTATTTAAATAATATTGAGGGGAAGTTGCTGCTGCTGTGGGGTAATTTGCTATTTGGCTTTGTTTCTTTTCAAAATGTAAGTAATTTCGTTACGAAATGAGTACCAAATTTTTCATGTTAAATATATGTTATATATTATTTTATATAAGTTATTGTTGTATATGTTATTAATTGATGTTTACAATATAAAGTATTGGTAATTGATCTAATTCTAGGTAGTGGTATATCTTCCATACTATACAAGAAGGACAAATGCAACATGATTAACTCAATAAGTATTATAGAATGTTTGAAATTTTATTTAATGGAATTGCCTTATTGATACCAAAGTATATACAAATCCGTGTGTGTATAGTATATGTAATGTTTATATACTACTTATTAAATAAGAATATTTAATGTTAACGGTATTAACTAATAACTATATAATTTATAGAGCAAAATTCATTTTGCCCTCTGTACTATGCGAAATGTATCATTTACCCTATCCCCTTATGTATGGAAAACATCAAACACCCCTCTGCCATTAGCCTGTTTCCTAATTTCCGTTAGTCAAACCCTTTGAAAGACTATTACAAAGAAATGTTGGCTCTTTTTTTTTTTTTTTTTTTAACGAAAGTACCCCAAAAAAATTCTATATATCTGCTTAATTTTGACAAATGTTCATCTGATTTATTCCTTTTTAGCATTTCTTTCACTTTATTCAGTCATTTTCTTTTTTTACTATTTTCAGCCATTTTTCTTATAATTTTTTTTGATAAGTCGAATAAATAAGACTGAAGCTTTGCAGATTATGAATGTAAAACCCACAAAAAAGAAAACTAAAAGCCCTGAAATCTAAAACAACCCCTAAAATTGGAATAAAACCATGTGAAAGAATTACAAATTAAACACAAAGCTTTTCATATTATAATATGAAAATCCCTCGAGAAAGAAAACTAAAAATCTCTAAAATCAAACAATAAAATTGACAAAATTCTACAATTTGACTTACGCTAAAAACCATCAACAATCCACAAAAAATACGCCTAAAAAGGTTAGCAATTATATAAGACATAAAGCAGGGTAAAGAAGTCACTGCATGCTCAGATTTAATACCGTTAAAGATTTAATCATTGACCCTTAAAAATAAGGAGGTATTTGATGTTTTCTATACATCTTGGAGTAAATGATACCGTTGACACATTACTAGAGTGCAAAATTTTTGCCCTGATTTATATTCAAATAGTGAACACCAATCAAATATTCAGAGAAATACATAAACTTATAACATTCAGTGAACCTTTTTTTTTCTTAGACTATCAAAAAACAAATATTATATGAAGGCCAGTAAGGGAAATATACATTAATAATCTATGCACGAAAATGTGAAAGGGTTCCAAAAGAAAAAAAAAGGTGGTTGCAAGAAAGAAAAAAAGCTAAAAAGAAAAAGAAAGAAAACTAATAAGTATAAGAAGAAGCAAAGTAAATAACATATTTTACTGATAACTAAGAGCACATCAAATTTTGGGAAAAGATAGAAAAAGATACCCAAATTATAAAGATATAATAAAATAAAATAAAATAAAAATTATTAGACTTATGAATGAAAATATAAGTAGAATGTATGAGTCTAATCATATTGCAATCTTAGATTTAGAGGGTGTTTGGCTAGACTTAGAAGATTTTTTTTTCTTTTAAAAGTACCGCTAACCCACCTGTTTATTTAAGATCTTATAATGAGTAAAAATAGCTTATAAGCTCATCACCCAAACACTTTAATCATTAATTGCAAAAATAAGACGTAACAACTTATCAGCTCTTAAAACATCTTATCAAACGTAAGAGCTTATATGTTATTTAAAACAAAGTTTAGCCAAACATGCCCTTAAAAAAACTTATCAAAAACAATATAAACAATAAAAAAAACTCATAAATATATTAACTCAAGACGTGCAACGCACGTCCACTTTCCTAGTATTTTAAAAAATCTCAAAGGGAATATTGGTAGGGTGTTTATGATGACGACCTTATTGACCTTATTGTTATCAAATGTCAAATGTTGACAGAGTCGCTAATTAGACAACTTAATTATGACTTTGCTCTTCTTGTTAGTGTCTAAGAAATCAACAAGTTTTTTTCTTAGCACTGCTACTTCAATAGATGGCTGCAGCTTATGCAGCTTTAGTTTCTCTCACTCATACTCTTGATCAGATCCTCCTCCACCCACCTCCTACCCTTGATATCATTTTTGATACAGATCAGATTCAATCTCTACGAGATAAGGCCGAGTACTTTTTGGTAGATTTTTTCGAAAATTATACAAGTAGTGGAGGCAATAAAGAGATGGAAGACTTGGAGACGATGATCGGTGATGCAGCATATGCAGCAGAATATATCGTTGAGTTCAATGTGATGAACCAAATTCTTGGAAGATCTTCAGCCGATAGAGAAGAAAGCTCCAATCTCTTGTTTGAAGGTGTAGAAATTTCAATACAAGAGTTCCTTTTCATTGAGAAAGAGTTGGTGAAATTCAAGAAAGATATGCAACGACCTAATAACTACTACTTGACAACAAAAGCTAGTTCTTCTTCTTCATCAAGGCCTCTTCTTCCGGCCTGTGGCAAAAACAGCATGGTGGGATTCGACAACCACATGGATGAAATTATGGGCGCTCTCTCCACCAACGAATCTAATCTTCGGATCATCTCTATTGTTGGAATGGGAGGCATAGGTAAGACTACCCTTGCCACTAATGTTTTTAACAATCCCTTTATTGTGGAGCACTTTCAGCTACGTGCTTGGTTTACGGTATCCCAGGAATATACTGACAAGAAGATTCTCCTAGGCCTTTTGCATCAGATCAGTAATACATATCGAAATGCATATGAGATCGATGATGATGATGATGATGATGAAGATGATGATTATGAAATAGGAGATAGACTGCACAAAACTTTGTTTGGGAGGAAGTATTTGATAGTGATGGATGACATGTGGGATATCAAGGCGTGGGATATGGTGAAAAGGTTCCTTCCTGATAATAGTAACGGAAGTCGAATCTTTGTAACTACTAGGCTGATGAAGTTGGCTGTTGATATTGGATCTTGTAGCCCTTATCAACTGAATCTTCTAGAAAAATCACAGAGTTGGGATTTACTCCGTGAAAAGATATTTGCAGAAGAACGTTGCCCCGATGAATTGGAGGGAACTGGAAAAAGTATTGCGACAAAATGCAGAGGACTTCCATTAGCTCTTGTTGTGATTGCTGGGGTTCTTGCAAAGTCCAAGACAAAACAACATTGGGTGTCAATTGAAAAAGATGTAACTTCAGTGGTAAACAATGAAGATGATGAGTTCTGCATGAAGATACTATTGTTGAGCTATAATAACTTGCCTATACATCTAAAGCCTTGTTTCCTTTACTTTGCCGTGTTTCCTGAAGATCATATCATCAAAGCGGAAAGGCTGGTCAGGTTGTGGGTTGCTGAAGGATTTATTAGGCAGTATGGGCATAAAAGCTTAGAAGAAATTGGAAAGGAGTACTTGAAGGATCTTATTGATCGAAATCTCATTTCCGTCAATTGGAGGTCAGTTACGGGAGAAGTGACCGGCTGCAACATTCATGATGTTTTAAGTAACCTATGCAAGAGAGAAGCTCAAAAAGACAATTTTATTCTCTCGTTCGCTAGAAAGCTTTATAACCCCGATATTTTAACTTTCATGAAGTTCACACCACGTCTCAGCATTAATGATGGAAAATGGAAAGGGACGAAACATAAGCCATATACATCACAGATACCTACACGGTCTTTGTTATGCTTCTCTAAAGGGGCTTCAACTGATTACACGGCTCGTCGGTTTCCATTACTACGAGTATTGGATGTAGTTGATATATATCCCAAAGATGAGATTCTACAGCTAATTAACTCAAGGTATGTTTCTTGCATGGGTTCGATGATGTTGCCGTCTTCAATATCCCGACTTTGGAGCCTACAAACATTATTGTTGATGGAAAGTTGATTATGCCAGGTGAGATATGGCAGATGCCCCAACTTCGACATGTTGTGGCCAACTCTATTATCTTGCCCGATCCTCCGCCTCCAGATAATGTCCAGAAAATCATACTTCTTGAAAATTTACAAACACTTTCAAGAGTAGTAGATTTTGAATGCACTGAAGCGGTAATTAATAGAATCCCTAATGTGAAGAAGTTGGAAATTGTTTGTGGGACAATTGGATCTAATTGTTTAAGGAATCTTGGACTTCTCCATAAACTCGAACAACTTAATCTGGAATTAATTACTGGTACTAGTTGCTGTGGAGAAATCGTCTTCCCAAGTTCACTTAAGGAGTTGATCTTAAGTGAATGCAAGATTCCTTGGGAAGATATGTCAGTTGTTGGTTCTTTGCCCAACCTTCAAGTTCTCGAGTTGCACAAAAATGCTGCTATAGGGAAAAAGTGGATTCCAAAAGAAGGGGAGTTCATTCGACTGAAGTTCCTATGGATTAACATGTGTGAATTGGAGATATGGGAAGCAGACAATACACATTTCCCATGTCTAGTGAAACTAAATCTTGGATACTTAAACCTCAAGGAGATCCCTTTGGATTTTGACGAAATATTACCACTTCGAGCAATTAACTTATATCACAATAGCAGCAATGACCTTCGGGCATCTGCAAATGAAATATCAGAGCGACGAGAGAACCTAGGTTACGATGCTCTTTATGTTCAAAAGTTTACATTTGGAGTGCTCAAAATTTGGGTGAAGAGAGGTATTAATCTTGCTGTTGGTGGTGGAGATCCTTATGTTGTTATCACGATGGGCAATCAGGTTTCGTGTTCCTACTTTTTGATGGTTTTTTTTGTTCATTAATGTTATTTTCACCCTCTTCATAATATTCTTTTAGACAAAAAGGATAACAAATTTGCATTAAATATTTTGTCTTTCGAATTTTCAAAAACAAATTTGCAATTTAGTATAAATATTTATGATGCAGAGTGTGGAGACTCGTATTGTGACAAATGATGTTCATCCTATATGGGATGAGGTACTCACAATTTACGTTTCAGATCCTAGCCGTCCAGTTTCTCTGGTGAGATTCTCTAATTTAAGATAAAAATAAATTTGGCAACTAGTTTTGTAATATTTATTTCTCACCATTTTTCTTTGTAGATCCAAAATCTGTAGTTTCAAATATGTTATGTGTATATGCTGATTCATAGTTTGTGTATAATGGTTGTAGACAGTGCGAGAACACAACAAGTTGAGCAACATGGATAACAAGATGGGTAATGCAGTGATTGATATTAAACCATTAGTACAAGCCGTTACGGTGCATCAAAATGGCCTTCCAAACGGTACAGTTATCACAAGACTACTGCCTTCAAGCTCCAATTGCCTGTCTAAAGAAAGTTCCATTGTCTGGGAAAATGGGAGAGTAATACAGGACATGTGCCTGAGATTGGAAAATGCCGAATGTGGCCAAGTCGAACTTCAACTCGGGTGGATTGATTAAATAGAATCTGGTGAAATCAAATTTCACTCGAGTGGTTGAAGTTCATTGTAACACCCCGCATTTTCGGTAAAATAATTTTTACCACCCTTATGTGCATATTTGTGAATTAGAATTTATAATAATTCTTGCATGGTTAGTATTTACGTGAATTAGGTAATTATGTGAAATATATGAATTATGTGATTATGTGAATTATGTGCTTAGGAAATATTTTGAGATAGTACGTCGAAATAAATTATTTTTCATAAACTAGGATTTTATTCTTGCATATGAATTTAAATGAGCATTTCATCATATTTTTGCATGCACAAAATTTTAGAAAATAAATTTTCTCATGCATTTTAGGATTTTTAATTAATGTAGAAAAATTAGAAAATCCTCCCCTCATTTTCTTTAATTTTCGGACACCACACACACACACACACATGATTTAAAAATTTCATATTAGTAGACATGCATTAGTGTGGTTGTACTTTGAGCATAGAAAAAAATACCTAAAAGCTAGCCTCCCTACCCTCTAGACTAGGCTTGCTTTTCCACTCCCACACACCACTTTAAGACCAAAGGTCTTTCTTTCTTCTTCCTCTCCCCTTCATTTTTTCGGCAGCCATAACACCACCACCATATCCACCACCTTCTCAAGCTTGAACCACCCAAGAACCACCACCACTTCTATTTTCGGAAATTGCAAAATCACCCCCCACAAAAGATGTATTTTCCTTTCTTCTCCATTGGCTTTGACCTCTCCAAAAACTTTATAAATACCTCACATGCTCAAGATCAAAATACACTCTCCACCTCCAATCTTACTATCCTTAAGTTCAAAGTCTCCTTCTATTTCAATAGAAGAAGAATTTTCGGCCAAGGCTAAGTAAGCTTCCTCTTCCTCTTTTCTTTTTTTTCTTTTTTCGAAAAGAGCCAAGCTCTTCTTCATCCAAGTTCTTCTTGTTCTTCTTCTTCTTTTCTTAATACATAATCTAACTCTTAATCTTTTCTTGTATTAGAGAGAAAAGAGCTAACAAATCCTTCCCCTAAAGAGAGAGGTGAGAATTCTTGATTTCTTGCTCAAACATGCAACACCACTAGTATTTTCAGTTTTTATGTGTTTTTATTGCTTATCCTTGCATATTATGTGATTATATGGTTTAGATGATGATTGAATGTTAGTATTTTGAAAATATAACTTTGTTCTTGAAGTTCTATGATTTTTCGAAAATTTGGGGAAAAATGCATAAATTGCTTATTTGGCTTAATTAGTGCCTTGCATGTGTTAATCTAGTGTTTGATTGTTGATTTGTGAAAAGAAAATGAATTTTTGGCCTAGCCATGAAACTTTCGGATTTTTGGGGGAAAAAATGCATAAATGGCTTATTTGGCTTAATTAGTGCCTTGCATGTGTTAATCTAGTGTTTGATTGTTGATTTGTGAAAAGAAAATGAATTTTTCGCCTAGCCATGAAACTTTCGGATTTTTGGGGGAAAATGCTTAAATAGCTTATTTGGCTTAATTAGTGTTTTGCATGTGTTAATCTAGTGTTTGATTGTTGATTTGTGAAAAGAAAATGAATTTTTGGCTTAACTAGGAAACTTTCGAATTTTTGAGGTAAAGTGCTTAAAATTGCTTATTTGGCTTATTTGATATCTTGCATGTGTTGATCTTGTGTTGGTTGTTATTTTAAGGCCTTGCATGTTAAGATTGGTGATTGATTGTTGATCTAAGGTCTTACATATTAAGATCTAGTGATTGATGGTTGATCTAAAGTCTTGCATTTTAAGATCTAGTGTTTTCTATGAAAATGATGAAAGAACTAAGAATTTGTGCTAACTTGATTTAAAATACCCTTGTATGTAAAGATCTAGTGTATTTACTTGAATAAATGCAAAGATGGAAGTCTCGAATTTTTATTCTTGTAAAAATGCTAGATTTAATGAGCTTTTGATGTTAGATTGTCTTTGCATGTTTAGATTTTGGTTACTTTATGTTTTTGTGGCTAAATGATTTTTTGAAACTTTATTTGTAATTTCTTATGTGCTCTTGCTTGCTTATGTGAATCATTGGGTGTGAGGATGAGAGAAGGGTAAGTAGAAGGGTGCATGTGTGGGTGCATTAGTGTATGAAATTTTAAAAGATAAAACTATGATGGAAAGTCTTTCGAGGTTACGGTAAATTTCCCGGGTACGGCGAGTCGGTACCGTAGGGCCTAGGGGTGGTTTGATCCCACGTAGATAGACAGATTCGAAATATATGAGGTTATTTACCGGTAACTTAGATTGACTCTTCCGAGGGATTCCCGATGATTTTTCATGTCATGCATGTTGCATTATGGTGTTGAGGATATGAATGAGAAAATCTCACTCTATGGTCTTGGGATCGTAAGGTTATAAAGGTGGGAAATTCTCATTCTATAATCTTCAATACGTGTCATGGCATAGGGTTATAAAGGTGGGATATTCTCACTCTATGGTCTTGGGATCATAGGGTTATAAAAGTGGGAATTTATCTCACTCTATGCGTGTGACAATTATGTGATGAAGAACGCCGACGAAAAAGGGAAGTATATGATTGCTTTAATTTATGTTGCATGTCCATGTATAAGATATATGTATGTATATATATATAGATATATGTATGCTCTATGTGTTATGTGTATTCGATAATACTTCAAGATTCTCATTGAGTCCTCAAAGGCTCATATAGGTGTTGTATGTTTGTAGGTATACCCGATTTGGAGCCCGAGGAGTGAAGTTGGGAACCGAGCTCGAGAATCGGAAGGAGATCGTATGGAGGGGTTGTGGATTGTGTTGACTCTTAATTTAGTTATATGGTTCTATTTGTATAATATGCTTGTAAAAACTATTGATACGGTTTTAGGTATTTTCTACCGTTCGCTTCCTCCGATCGGTGGAAACTATTAAAAGACAATATGTATAATATTAATTAGGATTACCCTCTTTTGGATATTTAATCAGTAATCCGTAGTATTTTGTAAGCGAAAGCGAATTTTACTATATATATGCATGCACGCTTTTCGGCTAGTAACCTCTTCGTGTCTTGCCTCGATGTTTGGAAATTATTTTCATATAGGTTCTCTGCTTAGAAAATCATGAAAGTTTAGTAGTCTCTGCATCTCTCTGTTCTCATCATATTGATAGGTCGTTTGTATGATTTGGGTAAGTATTCAATTAGTTATGATTTATTTCTCACTACTGCACTGAAACAGGGTCATCCGGGTGTTTTCTGGTATAACTGGAGTTTTACTCACTTAAATGCATTGTTTCCACTTGGAAAGTGTTTTGAACTTATTTTTCTGCCTTGGGTTAAAATTTGGTAGTTTTTGGGTCAGTGAGGAATTTATTACGAATTTTCATAACTCCCTCCCCTGTTCTGGATTTTAAACTGAGTGACTGTGCCATTTTATTTATTTCTCCTAAATGGCCAAGAATCTTTCAAAACTGTTTTAACGGAGTGATATGGACCCATATTAGATAGTATGATATTATTTTGGGGTTATTTCAATGCGTAGTTTAAGAGTAATTAATTTTTAAAGTTTCTGCACTGAATCTGTCCGAACTTGCATTAAGTCCATCATGCGTAGTTATTTTTTTAGTCTTGCATGTAGCATGTATTTGTGTTAATTGTTTGATTAGGGTTTAGTATAGTGTGACCTCTCTCCCTCTGATTTAAAAAGAAAAATCTTTACGTAAATTTATATCCACAATAATCATTTTTAAAAGTCTTCCGCTAAAATTACATATAATAAGAGTAATCGAGAAAGGGGTGCCACATTTCTACTACCACTAATTTACGGGTGTGATTGGATCAAATTAAACATTGAGTAAAATAGTGAAATTGCAATGTAAAATAATTGATACGTTTAACGAAATCATAAATTTAAATGGAAATTTTGTTTTATTGTAATTTCGGACATGTATAGTAATTTTTTTTTAATTCATAGGAGGTATAGAAGAAGAAGAAATAAATGTAACATCAATTTGATTAATAAAATCGAAATGGCTAGTCCAAATAATTGGAGAAGAATGTAGTAGAAGGTGACTCGTAGGAGGTTATATTGCCGCAGTTAGTGAATCTTCAAGTTCCGAAGCTCCATACATGAATATCATAGAGGATATCGAGCGGGTGAGTGAGTGGTTTGAGCATTTTTGGATACAACACGTTTCAGGGGAGGCCAAATAAGTAGCTCATGAAGTAACAACTTTGTCGAAGACGGATAATTTCTCTATTTAAGTAGGAGAGAAGCTCAAAAACATAATTTTATAGTCCCTTCAAAACTGGTAACCAAAATGCTTCACCAGATCCACCTCAGAATTAATGGTGGCCAATGGAAAGATATGACACTAACGAATTTGTTATATCAAGAACAAATTTGAGCTTTCTAAAATCAGATTTTTTTGTTTTTCAATTGTTTTGAGTTTGAATACTAACTAATGCAGTTTTACTGATCTCAAGATTTGAATCTTCTGCCTTTTTCTTAATGAAAATTCGGTTCGGTGTTTGGTAATTTATTTTTTTTGAATTCTGAGATTCGGTACGGTATACGGTATTGGTGTCCGGTATACCGTACCGTACTGAATACCGAAATATTTAATATATATTTATTTTTTTCTTTTATTTTAAATCCTT